TAAAACCTATAAATAAATTATTAAATTAAAGTATAGTTAGAAAAAGTATATAATCGATTATTAAAAAAAAAAAAAAAACTTACTGATTTAATATTTGCTTCATTACATAATATAGATTCACAAGAATCCCATGATGTTGACTACTAAGTCTTTGTTGTTAACTTTAAATTTCTACTAAGAGTAAGGGAATGTATAATTTCTTCTCTAAGAGCAGCACTAGCAGAGTAAAAATTCCTAAAAAAACTTATAATTATTTGACAATTAGACAAAATCTTTTTTACATGAGGTAATTTACAAATACTGCTAGAGATAAGCTAGATATGATGTGCAATACATCTTATTGGTAAAATATATGAATATTTTTCTGTAACTTGTCTTTTTGCTATCATTATTAATATTTCAGCATCAGAAACTATTGCTATAAATTTTTCAGACCCAACATTTTCTAATACCTCTATTATTTTTTTAGCATTAAAATTTACTATATGTGAAAACTTTGAAAAATCTCGTAATAAATAGATATACTGTTTTCTTTCATTTATTATTATAACAAAGGCATATATACTTTGTTTTAATAAACTGCACTAACTATTTACGCATAAAGTTAAATTTTTAGCCTTAGATAGTTCATTTTCTACTTTTATTATAATATTTGCTGCTTCTGCATCTAAAATTGATGATGCTAATATAATACATTTAGGTAGATCATAACTAGGGTTTAATAACTTGATATAATCTTCAAAGAAAGGATTGTTAAAGGCTGAAAATGAAATACCTGAATATACAATCTATTTAATCAATATTTGGTTAGCTCTTGTTTCTTTAGCCTTATCAATAGCTTCTTTTGTGTAATAATAGGCATTCAAAGACAACTAAGAGTGTCTGATTTTCTTTTTTTGGGAGTAGCAGATTTAGAAGATTTACTTTGAAAGTCTTGAAATACTCTAATTCAAATCTCTCTAGGTACTCTTCCTCTACATTTCATTACAAGGTGAGATTTCATTTCTTGAGCTTTTCTCTGAACCCATATACAAGAATAATATCTACAACTTGTACCCTTATGCTTTCCTAATCCATTATTTATAATATTAAACTCATTCTATATATTTAATAGAGGCCGTCCAGTATTATTTGATGATTCAGTTTGTATAGATGATTCACTTTCATTAATTAAAAAAGAGTTATTTGAGGTTTCATCACTATTTATAATTTCATTATTTGTAATATTTTCTATTTTAGCAAGTGTTAAAAGAAAAAAAAATAGGAAAAAATATAAAAAAAATATATATATATAAAAAAATATATATTTGAAAAAAAAGCTGAAATGATTCTTTAAGATGATGCTTATAGCCAAAAACAAGTGACTCTTAGTAAGTTAATTGGGTTGAAAAAAAAGGTTTTTATGATAGTTTATATCTAGATAATATTATATACAGTATACCTATTATATATAATACTACAGTTCAATTATATCTATACTTGCTAGCAAAATAGCAAAACCTGAACAAATTTAAAAAAACAATTGCTATTTATAAAAAATTAAATCAAAAAAAT